GTTTATTGACCTCAATATGCAAATCCTGAAATTGTTGTGCAAATGTTTCAACTGACATAGACATTTTAGCATGTGGGGACATGAGAATAAGATCTAAAGGCTTCATAGACTCATAACCATGAATAAATTCAACGGGACTCGTACTTATCGACCGATTCACAAAATTTTTATACTTAATTTGAATTCGTGGGACGATCAAATCCCAATTCCTAAGATTTTCCTTAAAAATGGCACGAGTACGCAAATCAATAGCACATCTGGGTGGGATAAGGGTACGACATACAACACTTGACTGAGAGGTATCTGGAACAAGGGATACAATATCTAGATTCATAGGAAATGCCCAAATACTACCTAAGGAGGTGTTCTCACTATCATCAAAGTCATCAGATTCTTCAAATTTAGGTACATAGATTTGATCGTCTAACCGTTCACCTATTATATTCTTTTGTTCTTCAATGACTAAGGTTCGACTAGGACATTTGGAAAAGATGTGGCCAAAGTCCTTACAGCTGAAGCACTGCAAGTGAGAAGAAGTCCTAGGAATTTTAGAAATTGTACCCTTATTTTTGAACACATGAGGAACATTTGATGGGGAAGGTCTCTTAATAGGCTTAAGATGAAGTTGCGTTGAAGATATTGGTGTATAGTTGTCACCACGCGTTTTATATGGAGTACCAATAATCAACTCAAAATCTCGGGCTAAAGAGTAAGCCTGATCAAGAGTAGTGACACCCCTAAAGAAAAGCTCACGCCTAATATCATCTCTTAAACCTTGACTAAACCTATTCAAAGTCAGGGCCTTATCCTCAATGACATGACATTTCATTCGAAATTCCTCAAATTCAGCAATATACTCGGTCACTAACCGATTCTCTTGTTTAAAGGTAGTCCATTGAGTAAAAATTTCAAAATCTAATCAACCATCAAGAGTAGAAGCACCTACTTTAATGTTTCTAAAGGAACGCTCCTTATGACGTGGGAGAGAATGAGTACCGTAACAGTTATAACCTTGTTTTCGTTCATGAACCTGACCCCTATCCCTTCTGTCGTGTCCAAAATATTTTTGACCACCTTGTCGACGATGATTTTTTCTATTATAGGAGACTTCAAAATTATCAACATCAGTCGAATGAGGGATTTGCTTAAACTTGTTCAGACTAGCTGCTAGGTTCCTACCTTTTTCAAGATTTGCAGCTATCTCAGTTTGGACAGCCGCTAACTGATTTTGGAACTGTTGTTGGTTAGTGGCAAGTTGTGCTAATTGTCTGGTGAGGGCATCAAATTGTGATGGGTCCATGGTCAGGTTATTGAAACTAGATAGGATAAGACGATCACTACGCACTTGCATGCAACATACTACCAGCTAAATGAAGTGTACTGGATCCAAATTCGACAAAACAACCAGTATGCAACTGTATGCTATGAACGAAATGAAGTGTGTGGAGATATCAATAAACAACTCGTTTTAAATTGAAAACAAAGCAATTTTTTTTTTTAATTATGTGTTTTTTTTTTTTTTTGGATTATGTGAATCAAAACATGACAAGCTAATACTGCTGAGACATGTAAAATCGCAAAGCATGGGTCAAATACTAGTCAAAAATCCGATCACGTAAAATAAGTGAGGTAAAATGGGGATTTCACAAATCAAGGGAGTCGGTTACGTGAACTTTAGGTGAACTTAGAATACAGCAGCACAAAGAAATTAATTGATGCAATTTTAAACGAACAGGAATATAAACTAAGGATAAGAGATAGTAGCTTCCCTGTTGTTCGTCGAAGTAATTGAGCGCCAAATAATTGATCTCCAAAAACAAAGAAACAGTAGCTTTTGTTGTGTTCGTCGAAGGAAATGAATCGATCAGTGGGTCAAGAGAGATACCTGCAAAGATGTTAGAAAAAAAACTTTTTTTTTTTTTCACTTTTTTTTTCGCTTTTTTTTTTTTAACTAAAAGTAAATAAAAAAAAACAGGGCCCAAAATCAAGCTCAAAACTGAAAGGAAATTACAAATTAGGGCCCAAAACAAAACTAGAAATTGAGGTTACTAATAGAGGCCCAACAAATTTTGCTAATGACAAGTGGGCACCAAGTAATTGATAATTGGGCTATGGAATTTATTATCAAAACAAGTCACATACCCAGTAAAGTTAATATTTTTTTTTTTTCCGGCAGTCAGCGGGTCTTCCTTCTCCTCCAGGTTTCTTTCTCCTGTCTCATTATCTACTTATTCCTTGCTCCTTCTCAGAATTCACAGTTCAATGGAACAAGAAGACTTACACTAAAGGTCGGATCTTTTGTATATATATATATATATATATATTTTTTAGTATTTGATGAAGATTGCTGAAAAGAAAACCTCTCAACTTTGCTTTCCTGGTGT